TTCGGTCAGATGGCTCGGATACAACGATCAGAAAATAAGCAAGAAGATTATTTCGAAGGTGTGATATTAGAATGCGAGGCCACGTTTAGACCACTGACGTAAACGTAATTAAAAAGCATTGAAATCGAGTTGTCTTCACATTGGATGCAACAGTTTTCACCCATAACAATTGTAAGTCCTAGTACTATCCATCTTTTCTTGTAACCAACGAAGAAAGCTATACCATAAAGCTGCCAACTGAACTGATGCTTTAAATAAGTATAGTCACATGACTACCTCTTTAAAAGATACGATTGAAAAGCAGGTAAGGATCTCAAATGATTGTAAATTAGAGAGCAAAGATCAACGGTTGTCATGCAATAGTCCAAATTTGTTACAAAAATGTCTCTTTTGTATAATTATGCTTGTCTTTGCTACTTTGTCGCCCATTCTCGAAACAAACCTAAAAGCTACCGGAATGAGGTTTTGTGGTGTACATGCCAATAAAAAAGACAAACGAGGGATATCAGTTTGGGCAAAACAGTATAAATCATTATATGCAGTCATTTAACACACCATAGAATTGCACAAATACTACAGATAAATTGTGAAAAAAGCGTTTACTTGAAAATCTATTATTGCGAATATCATTTTTCTTGTAGGCGGTTAGGATATAATGATTAGTATGGAGAGATTGCTGGATGTGATTTGTTAGTTAATATGACTTTAGAAGCCTTTTGTTGCCGCCACATAGTCAGATGTGAATCGATCAAGATATGGATTGACGCTATCGTCCAGGTATCTCATTTTCCTCAAATATAACAGGAGGACCTGATGTACATAGAGGTACTGGTGCTGAGTCTAAAAAGGTGAAGTTGTTTGGAAAAATAAAGGAAATAGCCTGTACAGTTGCATACTTGTATCGAATTATTTCTTTGTTTACGCAGAGCGAGTAGATAACTAGCCATATCCATAAGCGGCTGCTCTAACTGTAATAACTCCAATGCATTTTGTATGAGTACAATTGACCCAGTTCTTCCTATGCCAGCGGAGCAGTGAACAATAATTGGTGCAC